GTCGCAGGACCAGTGCGATTCGGGGGCAGGCGCCAGCAAGTCCAGAATATAACGCTGGAATGATCACCCATATTCATATATATATATATATATATATATATATATATATATATATATATATATATATATATATATATATATATATATATATATATATATATATATATATATATATATATATGTGTGTGTGTGTGTGTGTGTGTGTGTGTGTGTGTGTGTGTGTGTGACACACACACACACACACAAACACACACACACACACACACACACACACACACACACACACATATATATATATATATATATATATATATATATATATATGTATATATATGTGTGTGTGTGTGTGTGTGTGTGTGTACACACGCACATATATATGTATATATATATATGTATATGATATACATTATATGTATGTAATATGTATGTAATATATATATATACATACATATATATATATATATATATATATATATATATATATATATATATATATATATATATATATATATATATATATATGAACATTATAACCTCTCCGATCGGGATTCGATCCCTCGCCGCCAATGCACGTGAATGCAAGACGGCCGCTCAACCACTCGTACAACGACTCACTAAAAGGAGTGAGCAACTAGGCGCTTACTAGCATCCATAGACATTACCTACCTACTCATACATGAGTAAGGATAGCGAAGTTTCACACTCACTCCCCGTGGGCACTCGGTATTTATGGACAGAGCAGGACAAATCCCAAATCAGATGTGAGTGGGGGGGGGGGGACGAGAGAAGGAGAGAGGAAGGGGAGGGAGAGAAGGAGGGGAAGGAAGGGCGAGAAAAGGAAAGGGAAAGGGGAGGGCGAGAGAAGGAGGGGAGAAGGGGAGGACGAGAGAAGGAAGGGGGAGGGAAGGGCGAGAGGAGAAGAGGGGAGGGGGACCAAAGAGGAGGGGAGAAGGGGAGGACGAGAGAGGAAGGGGGGGGGGCGAGGGAAGGGCAAGAGAAGGAGAGGGGAAGGGGAGATGCACGTGGTGGAGTCGTGCCCACACCCAGCCTCTGCGACGTACCGATTTGATGCTTGGCAGCAGTTAATGACTGAATATATTTCTGGTGTGTGGCAAAAATGACTCACGGGATCTTGTCACTGTACGCATAACTATTAGATTGAATTCATACGAAGTCCTTATTACTTTTTAAGTTTTTCTTTTTTTCCCTACTATATGAAGTATATATATATATATATATATATATATATATATATATATATATATATATATATATATATATATATATATATATATATATATATATATGCCTTTTTGCGCTGTTTTAGCGTATTTATTGCCATTTCTGTTTGTACGTTGCTGCATGTTCTCGTGTGTTATCTATTTTTTGTTATTATTGATTTAGATGTTTTACTGACATGTCTTAATGACCAAAGGTATGTAAATTTTTGTATGACATATATTTGGACTGCCTACTTTTAATTCCTTTTGCTCAGCCTTTTGTGTATATTCTTACTTCCATGCATATCCATGTATCCCAGTGCATTTGTGGCCAATAAAAATCTATCTATTTATCTATCTATCTATCTATGTTCTATCTATATATCTATGTTCTATCTATTTATGTTCTATCTATGTTCTATTTATCTATGCTCTATCTATCTACCTATGTTCTATCTATCTATCTATGCTCTATCTATCTATGTTCTATCTATCTATCTATGTTCTATCTATCTATCTATGTTCTATCTATCTATGTTCTATCTATCTATCTATCTATGTTCTATCTATCTATCTATCTATGTTCTATCTATCTATCTATGTTCTATCTATCTATCTATGTTCTATCTATCTATCTATGTGTGCATGTTCAATATACAACGATTAAGAGACCAAACTGCGTCTACTTCACCCTCAGCGCAGGGAGAGCAGGTGTCTGGCGCAGCATGAGCATCACATAGCCGACGTTCGAAATGCCGGAGGTCCACGGCAGGAGGTCCCTTTCCTTCTTCAGGTAAGCCAAGACATCCAAGGCGGTCGTGTAGCTTAACTGACCTTTAAATCGGGCACGGATAGATAGTATAATCATTCGTTACTCCATTATGATAATGTCGATGAGAATTACTTAGTTCCTTGAAGAGTTCAACATGATGGCTTACACATTAGAAACTAGAAAAGAATTGGAAAGCTAATTAACAAGTACAAAAAAAAAAAAAAAAAAAAAGACACTGTACCGTTTCGAGCAAGATTCATGGCGTCGTCGATTATCTGCGCTCGGTTGACGTGGATGACCTTGTGGTCGTCCCTCAGCTGCTGGATGAGGAGGCCCCAGTTGTGGTCGTCGTAGTTGACTCGGTAGTAGCCCGTCTGCTGCAGGTTGAAGATGACCCACTGGTCCTTCGGGGGCAGTGACGTGAGAGTAATTCTCTCCTCAGAGTCCTTCATCCAGCCCCTGGCTTCTGTCTGGTTGAAGTTGGCCTCGCGCTGCGACGTGAAGCTGA